CCTCCTCCTCCCCCTCCCCCTCCTGCTCCTCCTGCTCCTCCTCTCCCTGTCCATTTTATGTTGCCCAACTGTTCTTTGGAGCCTACACAGAAGTGTGTCCAACCTAACAGTAAACAAATTATCACAGAAAATTGACTCTTATTCTCAGAATCTATCAAATACTAGTAGCTTCTCAGCTAGTGCAATTTCATTTTCTCCTTTCCAACTCCATGATGGGATTTTGCCTGGCCTATACTGGTCTTATACTCACTACCACAATCTCTCTATGTTAATATGTGGAACGGCTGTATTGTGTTATCTATCTATCTATCTATCTATCTATCTATCTATCTATCTATCATCTGTGTGTGTGTGTGTACTTTGGTACATTTATGATAGTCAGAAGATTCTTTTTAGGACTTACTTCTCTCTTTCCACTCCCAGCTGGGTTCCAGGGATAAAAGCCAGGTTGTCAGGCTTTGCAGAAAGTGGCTTTATCTACAGAATCATTTAACTAGTCTAATTACCTCATTCTTCTGAAACTGAGTCTCGCACTGGACCTGGAGCTCACCAATTGGCTAGACTATCTGACTAGCTGGTCAGATAGTCAGGTCCAGGGAGACTCTTGTCTCCTCCCTTGCAAGTCCTGGGACTCATGTACCCTCACTGAGCTTTTTTTATTTTAAATCTGTGTGCTGAGATTCTGCAACCAGGTCCTCATATTTCCATGGCAAGTCCCTTACAGACAGATTCTTCTTGTTCTTCTTGTTCTTATTCTTGTTCTTCTTATTCCAGCATCCCCTGGCCCCCTTTTCATTGTGCTTGGGATCAAACTCAGGATCCCACACAAATTAAGCAGGTGCTTTACAGCTGAGCTACATCCTCAGCCTTGATCTTAGTAATTTTCTGTCAGCATATGTGCCCTTTAGATATTCTAACTATGGAAATTAGACTTATTTTTTATTATGAAAACATTGGAATATACTTAAAAGTAGAACAAAATTGTATGATGTGCTGGCTTCAGCCGGTTCATCCGACACTAGCATGGTGTCATCTATTTTTGTTTAATATGCTCTTTATTCTCCTATTGAAATAGAAGTGAATCTTATTTTAGCAAAATAATGATCATCTTATCTTACTAAACCCAAACTTGGGAAGAGAAGGAAATGTGTTAGTTTACAGATAGAAAACAGTCAGTCAGACCTCTGTCAGGAACTTAGCTCTGAGTTTCCTGCTGTCCTCTCACTATCCCAGAAAGCTAGGTGTGAATTGCTCTTCCTTTTCTGAAGTTCATGGAGGTGAAAAAAACTGCCAAAGGCCTCACAGCTAGGGAGTTATGCAACAGGGACTGGGTTTTCTTTTTTGCTTGGATATTTTATTTATTTACATTTCAAATAACATCCTCTTTCCCAGTTTCCCCTCTGGAACCCCCCATCCCATTGTCACTCCCACTGCTTCTATCTATGAGGGTACTCCCTCACACACACACACACACTTCTACCTCACTGCCCTGGTATTCCCCTACATTGGGGCATTGGGCCTTCACAGAACCAAGGGCCTTTCTTCCAAGTGATGCCAGATACGTATGCTGTTGGAGCCATGGGTCTTTCTTTATGTACTCCTTGGTTGGTGGTTTAGTCCCTGGGAGCTCTAGGAGGTCTGATTGGTTGATATTGTTGTTCTTCCTATGGAGTTGTAAACCCCTTCAAGGACTGAAAATTTTTTTTTTCCTGTTAAAGCTTGTCCCTTAGCCAGACATTGCACAAAAAAAAAAAAAGGCTCATCCAAATTTCACTTTTGATCAATTCAAAAATCAATGAGTGGAGATCATTGCATCTGTAATGAAGCCCTCATTTTTACATACTTTCCATGTTAGAGGTAAATCACATATTTACTCAGGGGAAGGCTTTTTACAAAGGGTGTGGTCACTGGGAGTGCTTATGTATCTTTTTTTTTTTTACCATGTATGTAAAGATGTTCTGATAATAAGACAGAAGAAAAAAAAATAAGGCTTTGTACATACTTGCCTTCTGAAAACAAACCTACAAGGCATGTGACATTAATGCAAGAACTATTTTTGCACAAAACAGTTGATTTTACTGCCTAGTTAGATTGATTTGGAAAATTTGGGCAGAAGAAACCTTTGCTTTGAAGCCACATGGATTTGTACTATACGAGTTGGTTTCTCTGGGTCTTGACTATGAGTCCTTGGGTACTCATGAAGACCAGAAGTCTAGTTCTAGATGTTTTTCATCTATTATGAATGTCATGCTTGAAAGTCTGAGAAAAGTCAACTCTGTGGAGAGGGCTGAACATATGGGATACTCTCCTGCCCCTTTCTGTTTGTCCACATCCCCATGCACTTTGAGGTTTTCTTCCCCCATCCCATTCCATTTACATGCCATGGTGGAGGCTGGAGTTGTAGTCACAAATCCTGGCTCTCTTTACCGTTGTGCTGGCCTAGCTTTCTACTTCTTCACTCTCTCTCCTTCAGATTTTTAAATGATAAGACCTGGTTACTACTGTATATTAGTTTCATAGATTATTTTTACTGCAGTTTTTTTTTTTTCCGAGACAGGGTTTCTCTGTGTAGCCCTGGCTGTCCTGGAACTCACTCTGTAGACCAGGCTAGCCTCGAACTCTCGAACTCAGAAATCTGCCTGCCTCTGCCTCCCAAGTGCTGGGATTAAAGGCATGCACCACCACCGCCCGGCTACTGCAGTTTTCATATAAGCTGACTGAAGCTCTTTCAGAAAGTTGGCAGGGAACGAACTATCTATTCTATTATTGAGTGTCACACTTTTTAGAGGATTATGAAGTAGTATGTACTTCTCTAGCCACACCATGTTTTTATCATCATTGCATTGTCAATATCAATTAAAGCTGAGAACATCTGATGAATACATGGAGTGGCCAGAGAAAGGTAAGGTCAAATTGGCTAATGGACAGTTTGACAGCCTGGCATTGTCTTCATATCAGTTTATAAGGATGCTTTAATTATCTTGGCAGCTCTCCTTGAAGCCCTCTCCAAGTACCTACTATTAAAAAGTCTTCTCATCAGCACAACCAAAATTATCAATAATTAAATTGTCATAAGCCTCCTACCTCTCTGTTGGACTCATCATATAGATAAATGCTAAGGTTTTTATAGTCTGAGATGGAAGCTGATTTTTCTGGTTGTCATTGGAAACAGTTCAGACCTCTTGAAACACTGAATAAGCTCTTCAGGTCAATACAGCGTATTCATATTGTGACTGCTGAATGCATCAAATTGGATTAAGTACTCTTTTATACAGAACTAAAAAGAACATCTCATCAGAAATTGGCACATTACTAGTTGGCACAGGTAAGCTTACACAAAGAGATTAGATATTCATGTACACTGTGTTGAAGCCAACTAGAGAGGCAGGAAGTTAAGAAGAAATGGAAATGGAAAGGAACCTTCACTGTTGATTCTGGTTCCTCTTGGCATCTGGGAATGAAGAATCTTAGCATGATGAACATTTTCTGTAAAGCTTTATTACATAGAGGACAATACTTCTTGTATTTGGATGTTTTCAATTAAGAATGTTAAAATAAGGCTGGAAATACAGCTCAGTGTTTAAGGGCTCTTCCAGAGAACCTGAGTTCAGTTCCCAGCACCTACATCAGTCAAGTGGCTCACAACTATGATTCTAGCTCCAGGAGATCTGTTGATCCCCTCTTTTGACTTATACACACACAGACACAGACACAGCCACACAGACACACACACACACACACACACACACACACACACACACACACACACTCATGAGTATGGTCTTATTTTTCTCTCAGATATTTTCTAGAAATCTCACAAACAAGACTATTAGTATTGTTTACTATGAAAACATTCAGATTTTCTATGTGACATCTACAATATAAGGTGTTACATCTTCAGCCATCCAATCTACAGCAGAAAATGCCCTATGATCTCTTTAAAATTTCTTAGCAAGTCTTTAAATGTAGACGTTCAGAACCCCTCTAAAATATAAGATAGCTATCGGGAAGGCAATTGATTTATTTTCTTGAGAAGTTCATATACTTTGTGTGGGTCTTATTTTTTTGTTTAAATGCTTTCCTTTATATTAACCCTGTTAAATCTGTGTTAAATTAAACTCCAACTCTGTTCCATACAGACTGATTCTATAATTCCTTGCTGCAGTTAAGTGAAGAATAGCGGGTTGCCTATAGGAGTGAGTGAGTTTTGCAAAGAATTTCTCAGGATATTACAGCTATGGCCTTGTCTTCAGCTCTTGTTCACTTCAGCCTTGTCTCACTGTTGAGGTAGCATGACTCAGGTACACTTAAAATTAACTGTAATTTTGACTATGTTGAGACCCATGGAACATAATATCTGGAGAGATGTCTCAGCAGTTAACAGAACATATTGTTCTTGAAGAGGACCTGAGTTTGGTTCCTTGGTTCCTAGCACCCATATAAGTCAGCTCATACCTACCTGTAACTCCAACTCCAGGGGAACCAGTACCTTCTTCAGGTCTCTGTGCACATGTATAGCATG